GCTCGGGATTCCGGTATGGTTACAATTCTAGTTCTTCTAGACTATTCCCGTGCATTTGACACGTTAAATAGGCAGTTGTTATTCTCTAAATTAAATTACTATGGATTAAGCTCGGAAACTATAGATTGGTTTCGTAGCTATTTTAATGACGGTAGGCAAATTGTCGAAGTAGTAGATGAAAACGGCAATAAAATAGCATCTGATTGCTGTGCTGTTACAAGAGGTGTTCCGCAGGGTTCAATACTTGGTCTCTTGATTTTTTCGCTGTATAGTGCTGATATCGTAAAACATATATTAAACTGTAGCTATCATATATATGCTGATGATATACAAGTGTATATTTCTTTCAAGCCAAATGAGAGTACTGTAGCCATACAAAAATTACATGAAGACCTAAATCGTATAGTCGACTGGTCTGAAGCAAACACATTAGTACTTAATCCTAATAAAACGAAATATATGCTACTTAGTACCAAAAAAACAAATAAATAAAGTTTTGGCAAATCGTCCTTTAATTTCAATTAAAAATGTAAATATTGATCGAGTTACTGAGATTAGAAATTTAGGAATATTGATGGATGAGGCACTACACTTCGAAAAACATATAATAAATAACGTTAAAAATTGTTTTTACAGATTAAAAGTACTATACCAGATAAGGGATGTATTAAAGACGGAAGTCCGTATCAGATTATGTGAGTCCTTGATACTGTCCAAATTCAATTATGCAGATGCAGTAATAGGTCCTACACTTCTCAACCGTTCAAAAAAACTTATACAGCGCGTACAAAATGCCTGTGCCCGCTTCTGTTTTAAAATACCTCCCCGTGCACATGTTACACCTTACATTAATAACGCGAAAATGCTCAAAATGGATTACCGCTGGCGGTTGCATTTTGCTACGCTGTTGTTTGGTTGTATAAAATACAGGACGCCGTCTTATCTCTATGAAAAATTGCGCTGGGCTCGAGATAACGTCTTAACAAATGTAGTGACAAGTGCTTCGGCGTACGGGTTGCTTCTGCCTCAACACCGCACCGCTGCGTTTCGAGGCAGTTTTCGATATGCAGTAACCAAGTGTTGGAACAACTTGCCACCGCCGTTCCGTAATATGCAATCGATACATAGCTTCCGTCAAAAATTTAAATTGTTCCTCTTAGATCAGCAATCTCAAAGTTAAGTAGTGCAGATATTTTGATAGTATGTAATTTTATAAATAATGTATGAGTGTGTATATGTATATGTATATGTGCTTGTTTATATTTATGCATGTATATGTACATACATATATATATGTATATATGTGTGTGTGTTTGAATATGTACATATTATTTATTGAAATTATGTAATGAAGCGGTGTACTGCAGCTGGTTTGTGTATTTGTTCGTAGCTTAAACTTAATTACGTTCCTGAGTGAATTTCAAAGCAACCTCTTACAGTATTAAGAATATTATATAAGAATTATGACAATATTACAAGAAATAAATTTTTGTTATTATATTTGGTTTAACACAACAGAACTGCCCTCTGCACATAAAGAATATATAATATATGTATATATATATATATATATATATATATATATATATATATATATATATATATATATTATATTTATTTGTGTATTTTTATTTTAAATATATAAGGGTGCCACTGAAAATCAGGGTTGGGGTGTTGTACTTTTGATACATTCCAACATATCCTGAGTGGCTTTCCTTTTTGGAGCAGAGCAGCATTAACGGGTGGATTATCTTTGTAATACACCTTATGCATTACTCCTTATTCTCTAGTTTTTTATTATTATTATTATTATTTTCTTTTTTATATTATTGTTTGCTTTTTTTGTTTTTTTGTTTTACCATATCTATAAACAAGGAGTGAAGGTCCTGTTTCATAATTTCTATATATAATTCTTTTTGTTTTTTGTTTGTATGACTACTTAAATGTTATGTGTTTTATGTAATCCACTTGAGTGTCTTGCATGTGCCAAATAAAATCTGTTTCTTTCTTTCTTTCAGATTGGATCATCAAGGTCATTGTAGACGGTGCAAGCTCCGATTACAAGCCTATTAATGCCGGTGTTCCACAAGTCTCTGTGCTATCGCCAACGCTGTTTCTTCTGCATATCAATGGTATGTTGCAAACCCGTAACATTCATTGCTATGCAGATGACAGCACTGGTGATGCTCTGTACACCGGCCGTGCCAATATTTCTCAGGAAAACGTCGCAGTGTACCGGGACAAACTTGTGTCTGAAGTTTAGTCTTTGCTGAACAGAGTCTCGGATTGGGGCGACTAAATCTATTCCAGTTCAACCCTCAGAAGACACAAGTTTGCGCGTTAACCGCTAAAAAGAACCCCTTTGTCGTATCTCCTCAGTTTCAAGGCACTCCCCCTGTTGCCTCAGCCAGTGTCGGAATCCTCAGCGTCGACATATTCAGTGACGTGCAGTTTCGTGGTCACTTGGAAGAGAAGGCCAAATTGGCCTCTAAAAAGCTTGGCGTGCTCAGCAGAGCGGGACAGTATTTCATGCCGGCACACCGTCTGCAACTTTACAAGGCGCAGGTTCGGCCGCACATGGAATACTGTTCCCATCTCTGGGCTGGAGCTCCCCAGTACCAGCTCCTTCCACTTGACCGCATCCAGAGCAGAGCGGCTCCAATCGTCGACGACCGAGTGCTTTCTGATCGGCTCGATGCACTGGCGCTGCGAAGAGATGTTGCATCTCTTTGCATTTTCTTTCACATATACCATGGGGAGTGCTCTGAAGAATTGTTCGGATTAATCCCAGCCGCCAAATTTCATGAACGTACTACGCGGCAAACATCCCGATACCATCCACACCATCTGGATGCCTGGCGGTCCACCACTGTACGTTTCACAAGGAGTATTCTTCCACGTACGACCTCTCTGTGGAATGGTTTACCACCGGCGATTTTTCCGGACCGATACGACCTGGGGACCTTCAAAAAAAGAGCTTACTCTACTTGACAATCCTCTTACTCCTATTATAAACGCATTTTTAAAGTTTTATTTTACAGTTAGTTTAGTTTCGTTACCAAGATTAGGCCAGGATTGGATTCAGACCCTCAAAAATATTGTACATGGAAAATAAAATTATACTATTTTAAAAAAATTATATCACGTTTGACGTTTCATGTTTCTTTTTTTCCATGTGCCGGGATTTTGGCATCACGCGTCCATTTTATCTACAAATTTCGTTTTTTGACGGTTTTATTTTTATTTCTATTTAATTTTTGTCTAAAGGACTTAGTGTAAGTTAAATTTTGAATATTGATACCTAATTTATTTTATATTCAATAAGGATAAAATGAAAAGAATACAAAAGAAACCATATCTGCTTAATTGGATCTGAAAATCTGATTCGTAAAATATTTTGAAATTCTGTTTTCAAGCCAATTGCTTATGGAGCATAGAGTTTTTATCGTGGTAGCTCCTCATCATAGTTGTATCAAGGATACAACATAAATGCATCGGTCGAGCTTCGATTGACCATAAAGGGAGCTAATTCTAATTTTATTAAAAAACGCGGTACTCATGTACACTACAGAAATTCTCGATATCGTAGAGTAATATTAAAATATAAAAGGACCCAATAATAATACAAGTCGACCTTTAGGTAAAATTATGGTGTTTTCGTTTATACTAAGCGACTACGATACTATGTACTACAAACTATGAAATAATGGTACAATTAGGATAATTATACTACGAAATTCGACCCTGGTTACGTCGTGTTTCGATTTGACGTTGGTATTATGACAGATACGCTTCTTGTATGAAAAAGTTATGAGTAAAATATTAAGATGGGCCTGTCCTTCCTTTTGAAATCATTGATTGAAATTTTAAATAAAAAGTATCCAAGGACGAAACGAATATCAAAACAATTATTAAAAAAATCCGTGTGGCACTGGGGACTGCCGCGATAAAGCTATTGCATAGCATTTTTTATCAACTTATGCAATTATAATTACTTATTTATTTTATTTACGCAGTTTTTTTTCTTTGATATTAATTCAAGTTTTTTCTTTGATATTAATTCAAGTTACATTTTCTAAGCGCGGTGACCGATAAGAAAGATTTTTTTTTCTTTTATTGAATAAATGAGAAGTTAAATACGTTCAGTCGCACGCACACAAACACCATGCCGAAGTCCGCCGAACTGAAACGACATTAGATGATTAGATTAGACGATGCACGCAGAGTATAATAAGAATATACAGGAATGCACGACTTTCAACGCCACATCGCTGTGCCGGTCGGAGTGGGGGTGTTAGATTAATTTTCGTTACGGAATTTCTTGATTCGGTCGCCGCGCTCAAAGCCCGCGATAGAAGCTATGCAATAGCTTAAAAACATAAAACACTCTTCAATAGTTATTATAATTATAACATAACTTCAACTTATTTAAATTTTAACGCGTTCACAAGTAACGAAACGAAGTCAAGCAAATGTTTGTTTGTATCTATTTCAATTATTATAAGTACAATAATTTGCGACCAGAACGAGTCTTGCATCTTTTTCGATGATAAGCTAAAATAGACGTTATTGCATTGATGAACTGGCGTATATTCTTTAACGTCTCACCGATTCTCTCGTTAACTCGCTCTCGTATGTTCTCGTACGCACGCGCGATCGAATGTAGTTGTACGAAAAGAGCTATTAGACCGATTATCAATCAGCGTTCGGAAACGTTTAATCTAGTACAATACAATGCAAAAATACTTTTCCTTCCTATTCGTTCATCGTTTGCGAACTACACAAGACTATATTAGCAAATCGAAATCAACGGTCATACGCCGTACAGTATTTCTCATTTTCTTCTAATTCAAATACATCATTCTAAAAACTTCTTAAATTGCTGAAATATTAAAGAAAAAGGATAAGTAGAAACCTATGCGAAGTTGCTTACATATTATTTCTGTTTTTATGTTTAAATTTTGTTATTATCACTTTAAAGATTTTGTCAAAAGTTTACAATGAATAATGAAACAAAAGAAGTGTTGACGGCGTTGACAAAGAAGTTGAAATTATTGCAAGAACGATGTATATACGTTCATAATGCCATTAAGAATTTGCCAGATGTGGGTCCTGTACCAAACAACATTGAAGCTTCAAATTACGTAGAGGCTTCACGAACAGAGATACAAAATTCGTACACGGCTATTACGACGGACGGTAATTTACTAACAAGTCAATACCTCTCTGAAATGAAACAGTTTACTGAAGAAGTCGAAAAATTCATAGCTTTTACCGAGGTATCAATTAATGACATGAATACTGAAATGGAAAGGTATTTATTGTTATATTTTTATTATCACTCGTAATTCATGCAATATTATGTAAATCGATTGCCTTGAAAGAATTTGCTTGCATATTTTTTCTTCTGTGGTTTGTACATTTTTATTACTTCTTACTTTAACATGTTAACTGTCCCCATACAGAATTTTTCGTTAACCCCAGATGTCCAAATCAGTTTTTGTAATATTCCTAATCCAATTGATTCAAAATGACTCAATTGGATTAGAAATATTACAAAAACTGATTTTTAAATAAACAACAGAATTAACGCAATAACGTAATCCCTAATTGGCTCCCGAATTTCTCTAGCCAATACTTGGTTTCCATACAACAAATAAGATATCGCCCTAATAAGCAAGCACCATCACTAATTATTGATGTTAAATTAAACATTTGAAATGAAAACTACAATCCAATGCCGACCTAAAACTAAGTACCTACACTAACACAATAAATGAAATTCAGTGAATATCTATATATATTTTGTATCATCTTTCAAACAAATAAAACTAAACTCAACTGGGGAAATTTTTTTGACCTTTAAGTAGTTGGTGTGATCGGGCTTAAAATCGGTCAGGTTTTCTATCAAGAAATTCTCAGTAGCAGTCCGGAGTCAAGAGTTTAGCAGTGTTTCATCCCTATGCCTCACTAAGCATGTAAAGTCATTTTATCTTTATCAGATCTCACTATATTTATAACGGATTACTAACTCAGACACAATGATAAATAGACATTGATTTATATATTACATTAGATTCGTAATTACCGCTTACTGTGGACTGTGGACTTGTGAATGTGTGGTTTGAAAAAACTAAATATTGAGACAAATGCCATTCAAAAGCCTGGCTTCATCATCCTCAAGTATACTGTTAGGATGTTCCATTGCACAAATAAAGCTATTTTCTTATTTTTTTCAATTTTACCCACACAGAAAAAAAAAGAAATGTTTGTTAACAAGTCTTTACAAATAGAGTGAACTAACTCAGAAGTCCATGCAGTTAGAACACAAAGAAAGAGGCAGGGACGTGGTACTGCTTATGGAACACGGATATGAAGAACCCAAGCGGGGCGTGTACTGTATTCGGTGCACTGGACAGCTAACATGTTAAAACTGTCATTTTATTCTTACAAAAGTGCAACAACAAGATCCTTTTTAATAATAATCATTATTAAATAATAAATTAATAATCAATTATTAATATATTGAATCAATGTTGAATAATGATACATATCCATAAAAACCTGTTACACATTTATATTTTTAGATTTAATAATATAATCAAAACATCACAAGAAGCCAGGTCAAGATCTAGAGCAGAAAAGAAGCTCATAATGAAGACTAGAGTAAGATTCCAAATATTTAAAAAAGCACTTCATGGACTTCTATATTCTTTGTATCCAGACGCTGCCAACAAAGCTATGGATGTTTTGGGGGTAAGCCTTTGAAATACATAAGTTTCATTCATTAATTTCTAGTGACCTGATCATTCATGTATCGATTCGTCTCACAAACTGGGTTGTTTGAGTTGATTATTCCAATGGATCATTTCAAGTTTCAGTGATCTGTTAGATTGCTTAATAAAGTTGGTCGTGGGCATTACTATTCTCGTTGGTTGTAGGTCTTGTCTATTGTTTGATTCAGAAAATTCAAAAAATGTAATTATAATCATCAATACTTGGATGCAACCCTGGTCAAATGAATAAGTCATTCACATTTGACACATGCCTACTTTGAAATATCTTAAGCCCATGGTACACCTTTAAAAATGCATTACTGTATTAATTGGAAGATTTTTCTTATATTATATTGAATGGGAGGATGCAGATGCGTTGTCACCCCTGGGGACTGAGATGGAATGCCTTGTTTCCTGTAAAAAGGGTCTCGGTTCTCTACACTCACCATATGAAACACAGCATCATCACAAGCTACTATTTCATGCTGGTTTTCTGTGAGAGTGTGGTCCTTCCCCAGTCGAGCCCACCCATTCTTGCTACAACTATACTACTAATATAACTGCAGCATGGCTCTACCACATATAAAATAATGTCCTACAGATCAATTTTAGATAGGTTATAGTCCATGTGTGTATGAAATGCAGGTGCACTCTTTATTCTCTCACTCTTATAGTATTATTGGAATGGGAATCCAACATAACTTAAAAGAGATTAGGCTCAGGACTAAAGACTACATGTTGTCCAGGGGTGAAAAACACCACTTCGGGCTTCTACTGTGAATTTTTTCCCCATATAATATTACTATTATTTGCTACTAGGGATCTGCCTTGTGTTTAAATAAAAAAACAATATTTGTTTTAATTTGAAGCAAACAACACACTTGAGCTTTACAGAAGTCAGTAATTTTAAGATACAGTTAAATTTTGTGTAGATAATAATTATTAAATACAAATGTTTCAGCAACTGATGCGAGAGAAGTTCAATGCAACATCAAGTGGTTACATTAAGGTTACAGATGAGAACTACCCGACTATACAATTTCTGAGGCGAAATGAACTGGTGTCTCAAAACCCCTATAATATAACAGAGTTTAAACTTGTTTAATGAAGATCTGTCTGTTTAGAAGTGATTCTGTTATCAATAAAATAGTAATTATTAAAATAAATTTAGTTTATCAATTTCATGTTTATTTTTAAACTTATTTGCAGTTTTATAATAACTAGATTTTTATTATATAGCATAAGAGGATTCATCGCCATATTTGGTAGTCTGGATATTATGAAAGGTGACAACATAAAATGTCAAAAAAGTATTACAGCTTGTGATAGTGTCGGAATACCCATCCAGTTTATGGCAAACATAAAATTAAAGATGTAATACATGACACTGCAGTTGACAACCACCTGCCACACATGGTTATTGTGGAAAATACTTCTTACAATAGGGTAGGCATGTATCTTGAGAAAGTTATAAGTAACCTTTGTATTGCCCAATGTGTATCCCAATTTATAAAGAGTTTTTATTTAAAAGGTGTAGTATGTTAAAATTGACTAAGAATAAATTTGTATATATGGAATATGAATGAATAAAGTAACCCTTTGTAAAAAAATACAACATGAAATATCTTACCTGTGTTGTTTCCCATTCATTAATTACAGCCTAACAAAAGTCAGCAGTCAGCAGTGGCTAAACATAGGCTTTCCTTATATATTACCTCATAAGTGGGATATTTGCCATCGCTGCCACGCTCGGCAGGCAGGTTGACAGATCAACGCTGTTCAAAACAACATCAGATGGTGGAATAGTCACTTTGAATCAATTTGATTAGGAATATTACAAAAACTGATTTGGACATCTGGGGTTAATGAAAAATTCTGTATGCGGACAGAAGAGAAACCACAGAAGGGAAAATATGCAAGCAAATTCTTTCAAGGCACTGATATAAGAGTTCATAAAATGCAATCCTCCTGTCAATCGGCTAGCTGCATCGGCGTTATTTCTTCCAGGGTAATATCGATCGGTATTCTTGAAAACGGCTTGTCGGTTCTTATTCCGAAAGATAGCTGACTGACGGGTGTTGTTCTACGGAATGGTTGACTGACCATTTTATTTATTAATAATATAGTCTGTACTCTGTAGTAGTTACTAAAAAAAATCACGCTTAATAAACGAATTGCACCCTTAGATATAAACCTCGCTACGTACATTACAGCTGACTGGCCAGCTGTGTCCCCATAGGACGTTGACTATCATAATTTTGATTTACATATAAAAAAACAAAAGTAACATTGATTTTATTATCTTGGTGGTCACGACATGTTTGACCGCGCGCCGAGACACCTGTTCTAATATCCGCTTGACTGACCGCAGCATATTATGTAAATTATGATTAAGTACAATCACCTGAGAAAAAACCAGGTTTAATAAATTTAGAGACTGGCTCTGCCTCTCCGTCTATAGTATCGAAAGAAAAGTACTAATCTAAAATAAAATAATTTTGTTCTGGGAATGTATTTGAAGAAGCTGCTGACGCACCACCCAGTCACCAACCTAATGATCCTAAGAATTCCGCTGCAGCAGAGTTAGATCATTACTTAAGCTTACCGAGGCCGCAAGAGATGCAAATCCACATAAATAGTAGGTTTCAGAGGCAGCATAAGGCGTGGGCGACGTGGGCCACCGCCTACGGCCTCGCGATCTAGGGGCCTCGCGCCCTGGTTGTTTATGCATTACTATTACCGTATACGCGTCGAAAAAAAATCATTGTCATGAATCGATACTGTTGATGTAACTAAATATGTTTTTATTCAGTCTAGCAACATTAGTTTGCGTTGCTATTGCGGGGAATCCCCGCTGCTGGGCGACCAGTATATACACAGTAATCTATGGGGGCGACAAAGGCTGAGGATTCCCCGCTCTGTTTGTCAAACATGGAATATTGACTTTATTTAATCGTGAGCGAATGGCTATCGAGTAAAGAGTGCGGTATAGCTGCCCACGTGGCTGCTGTAGGTATACTTTCGCGCTGTACGCACAATAGTAGATAAACGGAACAGACACAAAGCTTCTTAAGAACTTGCAAAATTGTTACCTATTTTGGTAGGGTTGTCACTATAGGTGAAAACAAATTAAAACTCTAGAACGTTTACGTACATTTTGTGACTGGATTACAGAATATCGACAAATTGTTTCGAAAAATGCTTGTCTGGTGCTCAACAGTTTATTGAAAAAAAAAACTGTTATGATCTGCCAAAAGACTAAAAATAAAAGAGTAGCCAAATATAAAAAGATGTTGGATTATGGAGGCAAGGATTAACCTATACAGTCTCCTAAAAGTCGGTACGAAACAGATTTTTTCAACATCATGCGTGTTCAATTATAACAAATACTTATGGATTTGAGATTTATGGCTTTAAACCAACATTATGAAAATTTGGTTTGCTTTATGATTTAAACAAGTTAAAAAATATTCCAAACCATCTAATATTAAAGTAACTGTCAAGATTTACACACAGCCCTGCGAGTGGGTGAAAGCAGTGAATTTCAACCTTACGAATTATATGAAGATTTACAATTAATGATCCCTAATTTACCTAACTTCGTAACAGATGTGTGTAACAGCTTCTCCAATACGTTACAGAAAATAATTTAAAAAAATATACACAAACATTTACATCATCATATAACAATACCGATCAGTACAGCCTCCACTGAAGGAAGCTTCTTAAAATTAAAACTTATTAAAAATTATCTCAGGAATGCAATGTCACAGAAAAGACTTTCAGCGTTGAAAGTTTCATCTATCGAGGCAGATATAGCATCCAAGATATATTATGAGGCTATAATTAAACAATGCAGCAGGATATAAAGCAGAATATCTATTTCTTCATTTTTCTTTGAAATTGTTTGATGTTGGTACTTAATGATTTTTTTTTGTATGAATAAAAATTTCATAGAATAGAATAGAATAATTTTTTATTCAATATAGATTGCAAGTAATTCTTATTGAAAGTCAATATTTTATGTTACCACTGGTTCGAAAAAAACCTCTGTCCTGGGAAGAACCAGCAAGAAACCCAGCGGGACTTTTTTAAAATAAATTTTACAATGTTAAAGGTTTATTTAAAAATAGCTTGGAAGCGACCACCTCATTCCCAAGGGTTTTTATTTAATTAAATATTTAAACTTGATAATAGAGAGACCTTGTATGTTTTCTGGGACTTTGCTGTAATAGCGTATACATTGCTCCAAGAATGAATTACTGACTCTGTGGAGTCGAGAAATTGGTAGCAACAGTTTGTGTTTGTTTAGTGTTTACAGAGTGTATATCACTTTTTTTACTAAAACTACCTTTATTTTTGTGGACATACATCAAAATTTCGTAAATATACTGAGAGGCCAAAGTTAATATATTTATTTCTTAAAATTTTTCTTTAAGAGACTCTCTTTTTTATTTTAATTAGGTCTAATGGCCCTCTTCTGCAAAACAAAAATAGTTTCTAAATCAGCCGCATTCCCCTATAGCAAAATTCCATATGACATTATGCTATGGAAATAACTGAAATAAACTAATCTGGCTATCTCGACACTAATCTTTTACAGCATAAGTTGCAGAGCTTAGTCTGCTTGCTAGTTTAGATAATGGGGACCCCAATGAAGCTCAGCGTTGAGAGTGATGCCAAGAAAACCAGAGGATTCAACAGGACTCAGTTCTTCCCCATTTAAAAACACTTTGGTACTCGGATTATTAACATTTGTTGTTGTAAATTTAATACATTTATTTTTATTGCCGTTTAAATTTAAATTATTAACGTTAAAACAATGCACTAATTTCGATATTATTCACTTCGTTACATTTAAATGATTGACGTTTTTTAAAAATCAAGGAAGTATCATCAGCAAATAGTACTATATAATGATTATCCCCTACAAGGGAAGGTAAGTCAGAAGGTACACTAAAAATAGGAATGGGCCTAGAATTGAGCCCTGAGGGACACCCCTATGTAGGGGCCATCCGGAATAAAGCTAATGTCATGTGTTTTGTTTTTCATTTTATATAATCCGTCTTCTTGCGCGGGCAGAGGGCCTCGAAAAATGTATCTTGCCCACATAAAATTTAGGTCTTACGCCACCACTGGTAGGTTTTTAATAAATCTCCGTTCATCCATTACCCTATCTTGGGAAAAGTTGCGGCTCAATACAGGGCCCCCGTAAGGGCTACTGGCGCCTGTGTACAAATGTGAAAGGAATTATCTTCAGCTACTTCTAGAAGACTTTCGCAAACCTTAATTAAATAACGTTTAAGGGGCTTTATTGAATCAATTCTGCTGGACCATCTTGTCTCACTTAGAGGCTGTAAACTTAACCCAGGGACATTTTTTCTCAGAATATCCCACCTTTTTGTGGATGACGAAAAAAAATTACATAACTCTTGTTAAACAAGATTAAAAAAGTTTATTGTGGCATCTGACACTCTAGAAGCGTCATTTACTGTTAACTTCAAAGTATGAGCCGCATAAGGTATCAAAAGTGTTCTCGGATTCGCATCAAGAATGCGTTTTTGAAGCCCAACATGCTGTCCCTTCATGTTATCCCCATTATCAAAGCCTTGTCCCCTAATATTTTTTATATCTAAATTTATTTTTTTCAAAATTTCTGTCACAAATGTATATATCCCTTTTCCTGTAGAGTCCAGTATTGGATTAAACGCAATAAAACTTTCCTCAACTTCAATCTTTTTTGAAGTTGTGTGGACAGAATATCTCAGAACAAGACTAATTTTCTCAGTATGACTATACCTGGTGAACAATTTAATATTATTGAAAAATATCTTGAACTACGAACCATTTCTAAAATGTTATTTCTTACTTCATCATCATCATCATCATTATCATCATTACAGCCCTTCACAAGTCCACTGCTGAACATAGGCCTCCCCCAAGTAATGCCACAAAGCACGGTCCTGAGCCACCTGCATCCATCGACTTCCTGCATGTCTTACCAGGTCGTCACTCCATCTAGTGGGGGGTCGCCCTACACTACGCCTACCGGTACGAGGCTGCCACTCGAGAACCTTTCTTCCCCATCGGTTATCGGTTCTTCGAGCTATATGGCCGGCCCATTGCCACTTCAGCTTACTAATCCGTTGGGCTATGTCGGTCACTCTGGTTTTACTGCGGATATCCTCATTTCTGAGTCTATCACGCAGTGAAACTCCGAGCATAGCCCTCTCCATAGCTCGCTTTCTTACTTTAGACGACAATAATTCAATTATTTCATTCTGTATTTGCACGCCTAAATAATGAGTAATTTTAACACATATTGTTTGGGAGTTACACACTCGGCTAACGTGCTGTCTCATCACTGAATCAAAAGAGGCAATCATCTCAACAGCTTTTAGAAAATTTCCATTATCATGTTGGACAAGTAATTTAGAATAACCTTGAAATGCCAAGGATTGTGTATATTCAATTATACAATTGCAATAATTCTTTCCAACACGCCGCGCCAATATATTTTTTCCGTTTCTAAAATCCGCAGGTGATGAGCATTAACAGTCGTAGATGTCTCCAACATTTTTTTTAATTTACCCAATGTTCATATAACTATTGTGTAAAATTGACGTTTCGCGTCTCTCTATTAGCAAAGACAAGTGTTGCCATCAGATACTCCATTTGTATCACAAAAATTGTTAGGAATTTTATAAAACAACTTACAACAAAAACAAAATACAGTATCTTTAGAAAAAGAGTAAATAAGCCCAGTCCTTTCGACTTTTTCTCCATTTGCCCGACTTCTTACAAAGTATTTGCACGAAATGTTTCTCTTATCTTTATTACTAGGGAAGCTAAAACTGATGTCTATCAAGGGCGTACCACGTTTAACCAATATTCTAGCTATCTCATTGGTGATTATTTCGGGCCACAAACCGGGGTCGGATGGAATTACATCGAAGCTAGCCTTATTAAAGCCTATATCTAAAGTGTCACTTGCAGCAGGGATTTCAGTAGCTGACATTACCGAACTTCTTACACCAGCTGAATTACCTGAAGTGGATAGTTCAAGTGCTGTAGACGAGGATGGTATCATCGCTTCATCGGGCTCTGCATTTAGTAGTAGAGAGTAGTCGCCTCTGTTGAAATTTCAGGTGGCTCACTCACGGTTACTGATATTACGGATTTAGAATCTTGAGATTCGGTCGCATCGATAGTCTCCGTGGAATCTTCATTGTTTTGCAAGAAGTGCTTAAAAGATCCAGCCATTTTTTCCCTTTTCTTGTAGTCTCAGTTTCTTTTGCTGGCGAAAGTTCGCACCTGAAGGTCTCTTTCTTTTATCCTTAAAAAACAAATAAGTAATTAGTACTTATGGGAATTAGGAATTAACTTCCAAAGTAATCGCAATAGTAAGCACCAAGTTTGCATATTGCATATTTAAGTAAAAAGCAATTTGTTCAAGCTCTTTCAGCTTAAAACCTTTCAAAAATAAAGGCAGAAAAGGTATTAAACTAATTTGATCTTATAGCCCTAAAAATCTACAAAATGGTTTTTTTTTAAATATCGATAGCGTAAAAACTAAGCGAGTTATGGATAAAAAACCTTTACTTTTTTAAACTGGTACAGGGTCTTTGACTATATTTACGTGCTTCCCAGATCCCTTATATGTCAGATATAAAAAAAGTTTTATGCAGAAGTTGTAGGTTCTTTTTCTATTTTATCTATTGAAGTTATCAGATAAAAACAGGAAACAGATAGGATTCCTATAAAGAGTTAATGTTGATAGTATAAAGTAAACTAGGGAATACTTACCATTTTATACAAAATCAAACCGTTGAAATTGCAGTCAGCAGGTATTCAGCACTTAATTTTTTAGAAAAAAAAAAGTAGTAAACAAAATATTATACAACACAACACTTGACAAAATAAAAATAAAAATAATTTTCAAATGTAAACATTAATAGGATTAATTGTTTTTATGCACTTGTTGCACGGTCCAGTGAACTAACCGGTTTAAAAACGCTTCTGGCGATGCATCGCTTTTAAAGCGCTCCAGACTTTTTCCAGTTTATGTCTGAACAGGAAAAATCAAGAAACTACCGCCTGACATGTTCTCGCTACATAGGAATCGGCAGTAACTGTATGTAATAAAATTTCGTGTGTATTTATACCCAATCCTATTTAATTTCTCAACTTTTATTTTAAAATATTTTTTTTTGAATTTAATTGGGCTATTGGCTATTGAAAGTGGATGGATGTGCTCAGGGACATTCTTCGAATATATGACGAATGTGTTCAATACTTGGCTGACTAACAAAATATTGAAAAGCCAATTTTTTTTATAGATGGACACAAGTCACATTTGACTTTGCACCTGTCTAATTTCTGCTCTGACGATGATAATGAGGATTCAATCCAAATTCTACACACATATTACAACCAATGGATTTGTCTGTTTTCAGGCCTTTGAAGTTGTCATGGCTAGAAGCGGTTAGAACCCAAAAACACAAAATTTAGGATAAGTTCTTATAAAACAGCAATTTGCTCCGGTATTTAAGACAGCAATCGAAAAACTTACTGTTGAAACAATCAAAAATGGATTTCGAGCTGGAGGATTGTATCTATTTGGTCCAGAATTTGTAGACATGAGTAAAATCAAATCTCAAAACAGACAGAATATTGATTCTACTTGCCAGAGAGAATTTTCGAGAACATTAGAGAACAAGATTGAAGCAATTTTGTCTTGTGCTAAACTGAAGCTTTTCAAAGATCTTTATTACAAAAGTCGCCTCGAACTGGACACATCTTCTGCCATCATCTGCCAAATGAAGATCAATCTCTGTGTTTGATTTGGGCCAGTAGTAAGCAAATTCTCGATCGTGACCTAATAAACGAAGTGTTGGCACCCACTAACTCTGTTGAAACATCAAATTACGTATTAGAAGCTGATGATCAAAATGAAAACGCATCTCCAAAAGAAAATAAATCAATTAGTGTCTTATCCCAATACACGAACGATTCCGAGTCAAGCGGCTCTCACAAAATATTTGGTTAGCCAAAAAAAACATTAGATCTCAATACCTCAAATGCAGACCAGGAAGACTTACCAGTTATTGATGATTCATTATCAAGAGAAAACGAGACTATTGCTATCTTATCTCATAATAAAAACGATTCTGAACCAGGCGCTTATCTACAAAACAATTGTTTATCCAAAGAAATTTTAGATCCTGATACCTCAAATGCAGGATGACTTAGCAGCCACTAATAATTCTTTACCAAAAATAAACGAAACTATATTGCGGTCTTATCTTAGAAGGCGAACATTTCCGAACCAAGCACTTCAATTCTCAATACCTCAAAAAAGCGAAATGCAAAACAGTGAAATTTAGAATTCATTGACAAAACACCTACGAAGATTATTAACCCTGGCACTTCAAATTATGTTATACCATCGCATTTTAAACGAAGCTTATTTTGAATAAAACTATTATTTACGGATTATATCGCGTTTAATTACAACTTTAATTTATTTTTATTATCCCGACGTTTCGGGTGCTTTACACTAACTATTGTGGTGCCCATTGTCAAAAACAGGGTAGGTGATATCTCGGATAAGGTACCGCCCTATTTCTCTTGCTACCACGGTGGTCAAAGTATTGGACAGTCTGCTTGATACATGCTTGCAAAAGTATCTGAAGTTACATAACGCGCAGTTCGGGTTTAGGCCCGGACTATCCACTGAAAGCGCAATACTAAGCCTAAAGCACACTGTCCAATATTATACAAGCTTAAGGACTCCGGTGTACGCCTGCTTTCTAGATCTCTTCAAAGCATTTGGTCTGGTTTCGTGTGATGTGCTTTGGAGGAAGATGGAGGTCAGGGGTGTTTCGGTAGAGGTGCTAAATCTCTTTCGGTATTGGTACACAAAACAAGTAAATTACGTTAAATGGGCTGACCAATTGTCCAACTCGTACAGTTTGGGGTGCGGAGTAAGGCAAGGTGGGTTGTCGTCTCCAAAGCTGTTCAACCCACACGTAAATGACCTCATAGTGGAGCTCAGCAGCATGCAAGTCGGATGCAAGGTGAGTGGTGTTAATGTAAACAACATTAGTTACGCGGACGTCATGGTGCTGCTGGGCCCCACTACGAGTACTATCAGGAAATGTTGAACGTATGTGAGAGCTATGCTAAGTAGCATGGTCTGGCCTACAATGTCAGAAAAACCGAATTTATGGTCTTTAAGGCCGCCGGTAAGTGTCCAGAATTTTACCTCCAATTTGCCTCAATGGATTGGAGCTGAACAGAGTTTTCCAATTTAAGTACCTGGGCCACATACTTACCGACGACCTTAAAGACGATTTAGACATAGAACGGGAGCGTAGGGCTTTGGCGGTCCGTGGTAACATGCTGGCCCGTAGATTCGCTCGTTGTATGGATAAAGTCAAGATTACTGACTGAGATGTTTGACGTCCCAATGACATAGTCCGACTACCTTCAGTTTTTGAATATTAATTTTGGGTCCGATTTACGCAAAACGAGCTTATAGTATCATGAAGTCTTGCAATGGTATGCTTGGGTTTGGGTTTAATTTTGTTAATTATAGGATCCCAAGCAGATGGCGGCACCAATTCATCTTTTCTATTGAAATTTGGATATTTTTTAATTTCAATAGAGGCGTATCATTCTTGGTAGGAATTGGTGTACTTTTGCGATGATTTGTGGTATATCAAATCTAAAGTAATGGTGGGGACGATCTTGAACATGTTCGCAGACTGCAGACTTCCCGGAGCATCGGTGCTTCACGTCAGCTATATGCTCCTTCATACGGGTTTTTATAGATCTCTTTGTTTGGCCTATGTAAGAGAGACCACATTCACAATCCAGCTTGTACACACCTGCATCTTGTAGAGGAATATTACATTCGATGGATGGTAAAAATTGACTAATCTTCTTCGGCGGTTTGTAGTATGTTTTAATGGACGCTCGCTTCAAGAAGTAGCCAATCATGTTTGTGACTCAAAACGCAAATTAAAAGAGAAAATTCAATTTACGATTACAAGCCCTATTGTTGCCCAAATGCAAGAACAAGACGAGACAGCCAGTCTTGGTCTTGGTCTTGCGCCAATACACCTGGTCTTGTTCTTGGTCTTGGTATTGCGCTCTCAGTCTTGTTCTTGGTCTTGGTCTTGCAGCAAGAGTCTCGCAAGTCTCGCAATTACCTATTAGCCTATTGTTATTTATTAAACGTTACTTTAGATCTTAGAAAAACTTAACAGAGTAGGCACATTTTGAGCTTGAATTAACATAACCATAGAAAGACCAACCAAATTAATAAATGTCTAAACATTTAATGAGAAATTCGAAAAATCAACTAATACCGGGTGGGGTTTGAACCCACAACCTAAGCGATCCGTGCCGATGATCTAACCAACTGAGCTGTCTACCAAGTCTCACGGCCACGGGAGTTAGTCTGTTTCTTAATAAACGTTTACATTTAATAAGCTTACATGTGCTAAAACTTAGTCAAAACATATAAAAAACAAATTAATGACATTAACTTGACTGTATTATAAAGAACATTATCTGTCTAGAAAGATATTGATAGACCCTTATATGAAATGGAATAAAAGAGTTATACAATTTACCATTTATTTAAATAAATAAATAAAATACAATACAAATTAAATTACATAACAGTACACAACAGCTTTGACATTACTGTTACTTTATATTAATTCTTTTGACCAAGAATTAATACAAAGTAACCATCTGGCTGACTCATCACTTAACCTATTTCTATGTTTTCTAATTACTAATGATGCTTTAGAAAATAATCTCTCACCAGGTACTGAAGTTGCAGGTATTGAAAGAAAATCACGGGCCATCTTCGATAAAGTCGGATATTCTGTCTCATGCGTCCTCCACCACTCTTAAATGTCTTCCGAACTGGCGGCTCTGGGTTTACTTAGGTACTCCTTCAACTCGTCTATAACTAAGCCTTGATGAAAAGATCCAGATCCAGATGACGTCGAGGGACATGCATACAATTTCTCAAAGTTTATTACGTCTTCATCTTCATCATATTCACATACTTTCTTTTCATTTCTTGGTGATTGTAGAGATGTATTCA